AGGGCGGCTGCCCCAGCCCTGCCACAAGCTGAGAAGGAGCCCCAGAGCACCCCATGAACCCAAGCGATGGAGACGTCAGCATGGACCTTGTGTGCTTTTTCTATGTCCAGGTCCAGGATGAGGCATTCCCCTCAGCAAGGGGAGGTGACACAGGGACAGAAGTCCCCAAACCCACGGGATGCCCTGCAGCCTAAACAGGCCTGATGCTCTGCTGCGAGGGGACAGCACACGCATCCCCACAGCCCCGTGCAAAACACGCGGCGATGCAGACGCAGGGCACACGGGCGGCAGGGCATTCCCCCCAGCCCAGGCACCCCAAACACACCGTGCCCAGGGACACACGGCCCCACACCGGCTGCCTCCCCGGCACAGCACACAGCGCCGAGCCCAGCTCCCTAACAAGGTCACCGGCGCACTCAATTATCTGCTGACACTTCAATGGGGGAAATTGCCTGTGAAGACGAGGTGAATACGTGGGGGAATTAGTGGGAGATGTGATGGCGGCAAGCTAACAACCAGAGCCGGCAAGGATGTTGCCTGCCCTGCCAGCATGCTGAGCCAGGATGTCCTGGCTGTGGGATGGCCACGGCAAGCTAGGGATGGAGGTGGTGGCGGTGGCTCTGGGATCCCACCGTGCCTCGGCATGTCCATACAGCCTGTACATCACCAAGCAGCTCTGGCATTTCAGTGTCACCACAGCAGGGTCATCAGCCGAGGGCTTGGCCAGGAACAGAGGAGCAGGGGCTGAGCAGAGGCTCCTTGTTTGCCAGGAAGAGGGGAAGGAAACCGTGGCTGTTAAATTGTGGTCATCAACCCATCACCTGAGATGGGAGCAAGGTTCTGAGATACCTCCTAAAGCTGCAGAGGGACTAACCCAACCCTGCTCCTGCGGGGACACTGCCCCAGGCTCATGAGTCCTGGTTTGCTGGTCCCACACCGTATTCCCAGTGTGGGACCCCCTGGGACACCCATCTGAGGCTTTGGAGGTGGGTGCTGGGCAGCCTTCTCCTCCTTGACCAGGCCCCTCTGCAGGGATGCTCTCCTGCCTGCAGACCTTGCCCACGGGGGAGAGCAGAGCACATCGACACTTCACGTGGGCTTCAAAACACAAGCCTGGGCTTGCTGGGAGGGCGAAACACTGCCTGCTGGGTGCAAGTGCTGGGGGTCACCTGCCTTCTCCAGGGAAGAGTGAGAAGATGTCTCTCCCTGTCCCGTTCCTCAGACAGACGGAGCTACAGGTGCCTCCCAACCCCCCAAAGCCCCCCCAAATAATGCTAGGAGAGACCGAGGACTGGGGGACAGACCTCAGCCCCGCCTGGGGTCAGACCACGCTCCCATCGGCACCTACCCCCACGTCCTCATCCCAGCACCCTCATGGCAGAGGACATTTCACCTTAGTTAATTAAAGCTGAGCAATTAACGCTGAGGGGTGTTTATCCCGAGGGGCTGCACTCAGCCGCGCAGGGCTCGGGGGGGCCATCCCCTCTGATGGGCTCTCCCCGTGCCATCAGTCACACCCATCTCACCCGGGATGTATAAACGCATCTTTTCGACCCAAATACCCACCGATCGTGAGCCACGAGCCCCAACGGATTTATTTTCCCAGCCAGCCCTCTCCCCCCTCTGTCTCCTCCTGGCAGCCAGGGAAGCCCGTGCTCCCCAGCCCATCGTCACCCCACGTTATCACTTCAGAGGGGATCCTCCAAGTCCAGCCCCACGTACCAACCTCTGCCAAGCCCAGGCAGCCTCGGCCGGGGCCAAATGTACCACGACCGAAGAGAGATTTCGTTTTCAGAGCACAGCCCCAACGAGCTCCATCCCGCCTGGCTCTGCCTGCGGTGATGGCTCACCCTGGAGCAGCATCCAGGAGAGCTTCACCTTTCTCAGTCGGGTCCTTCGGCCTCGGCTGGTTGCGGGGATGAAGCAGCTGCCGGAGCAAGGCTGGTTTCAGCCCTTGGGCAGCAAATCTACAGCAAGAGCTGTGCCGCGATGACATGGATCCCCACTTTCGCCGGCACCGACGGAGCCCCAAATGTCATCGTGTTATAACTCCCCGAGAGCCGAGGCGAGCACGTCCAGGTTCTGAAAGGACCTGGCCACACATCTCCCTCTCCTCAGTGTGAAAAAGAAGGGAAACCCCCTTATTTTTTTAATGCTGAACATAACGAGAGACCCAGAGGTACTACAAACCCTCAACCTCCAACCTTTCCTCTTTGAACAGAGCCTCAATCCATTTAATCTCCCTTTCCCCCCCCTTCCAAACAAACAACAACAAAAAAACCCCAAACAAAACCCCCAAAACACGTGTTCCATTTTCCATATAATAAAACCGTGCCGCTCTTAATAACTCCCCTATTTGACGATTTGTTTGGCAACATATGGAAAGCTCTCGTAAACTCGCCCCTTCATAATACAGCGGCAGATGGCAAACACAATCCTCAACACACCGCTCTCGGCGTCCCTAATGGGCTCGGAGGGCTCCTCGCCCCACGCCGCATCCCTCCGGCTCCGCACCTCGCCTTCCCAGAGATTACCCAGGCAGCCTCGACGGCAGCTATTTAAAAACTGAAGCAATTTTCTGGTTTATGCACAGAGCTGCCTTTTCCCTTTTGATTGATTGAGCCGAGATGTCAAGCATTTCCATGAAGTCACTAAAAAAGAAAGGTACCCTGGTGGGCACGTAAAAACCTGATGCAAAACTTCTAATATGTTTTATTGCAACTTGTACTTCAAAAAGGAAGGGACAACAAAGGCGAACATATTTGCTTTGTCTGTTACGCAAGTCAGGGAGCTGGGACCCGTTTCCTTGGAAAGCGGGTTACCTTTAATAGCCAGGTAATTATGGAGCTTTTAGAAATGAAGGAGGAAAAAAAAAAATAAAGAGGGGAAAAAAACTCGACCAGAAGGCTCCAGCATGGTGCTGCAGGGATGTTGTGCAGGGCTTGCTGCTGTCACCCGCCAAGCCATGGTGAGCAT